CTTAGATATTCTTAGGACAGAAATCTTATGGAGTTTAATGATCATTCATTTCAACAAATATATGTGATATTTCCGTGTAAAAGGCTGCCTTCCAAAATTATGGTGATTTGATGTTTCTTTCAACATTATTTTGTTTATAATCTGAATCTGAAGCTAACTATATGTCCTCAAAATGTTGCCAGTTAAGAAGTAGAAATTTAGTTAGTCCCTATTGGAACCCTAGCCTTGCCCTAGCTCACCTCTCTCTCTGTGCACCTCACTCTCCCACTCTGGCAATAACCTAGAAGAAGGAGGAGGAAGAAGAAGAACACGATGGACACGGCGAGAGTTTCTGGCGCACAAATGCCACCGCACGAACGGTATTTTTCCCAAGTAACAAACTCGCCCACACATGTTACAACGATCACCGTGGCGATCGTATACCCGGGCCAATGCTGGGCCACGACCTGCACGTCTACCCACTACTCCGCCTGGTCCAGCCTGCTCCGCGTGCCCACGACGCGCTCCCGCTCGCGCTCGCCACGCTAAGCCCGCAATAGGCCTGCACGATCACCCCGCCCAGATCGCCAACAGCATGGCCTACGCACACACACGTACGGTGTCCACCCACACGGCCACCCCCGTGAACCACACGCACGCACGCGCACACACACAAACACCTACGTCGCAGACCCGACGTGCCCAACGCGCACCCACACACGCGCCCAACGTGTCTAACCCGTTGCCGCGGCTTATTTGGCCAACACTCACCCCCTAAGCTACAACTCAGAGGATTCCAGGCTCGAGATCGTCGTCGATCTCCACCAGGAGCGCGCGCTCCGTCGCCGGCGCCTTTCGCAACTTGGGGCACTCGCGCTTGAAATGGTCGTGCTCGCTGTAGCTGTAGCAGCGTCCGCACCGCTTGCCTCCGCCTCCCAATGTGTCGTACTGCCCGCGCCGTCGTCGTCGTGGTCAAGGTCGCCTCCGCCATGCCGACGCTGCCGAGCTGCCCACTGCACTGCAGTCAGCATGAGCTCCTCACCGTCGTGCCTACCCCCGTCCTGCCCGCGACGCCGGGTCCGTTCGTCGAATGCTTTGAGCCGCCCCAAAGCCTCCTCGTACGCCATCTCTTCTACATTGCAAAATTGTTCAATTCCGGCGATGGCGGGGTAGAGGCGGTCCGGGACCGTGTCCAACATCTTCTTCATGAGCTCAGCGTAGTCGAGCACCGCCCCCAGACCTGCATAGTGCGTCGTCATGGTGCCAAGCTTCCCGCATAGGCTGTCCAAGTCGTCGTCGTCCGCCATCCGCAGCCGCTCGAACTCGCCGCGTAGCGACGCGAGCCGGGCCGCCCGCACCCGATCAGCGACGACGAAGCGCACCTTGAGGGAGTCCCATACCTCCTTCGTGGTGGGCTTCGTCGACACCGGCAGCAGCACTTCCACCGACAGCACCCCGAGAAGCATCGCCCGCGCTGTCTTGCTCTTGTTGGCGTCGATCGTCGTGCCCTCCGCCGGAACGACCACCCCCACAGGCCACAGCCCCTAAGAACCAAGAAAAGCTTCCACCTTGATCGCCCAGGAGGTGTAGTTCGTCGTGGTCAGCGGTGGGACCGGCAGCGAGAACGAGCCACCACCGCCATTGTGCGGTACGAGTGCCATGGTCGCTGGCGTTCACCTCCGAAACCGGGCTCTGATGCCAATTGCTGGAACCCTAGCCTTGCCCTAGCTCACCACTCTCTCTATCTGTGCACCTCACTCTCCCGCCCTGGCATGAACCGAGAAGAAGGGGGAGGAAGAAGAAGAACACGGTGGACATGACGAGAGTTTCGGGCGCACGAACGCAACCGCAAGAATGGTATTTTTCCCAAGCAACAAACTCGTCCCACACATGTTACAACGATCACCGTGGCGATCTTATACCCAGGCCAGCGCTCGGCCACGACCCCGCCTGGTCTGGCCCGCTCTGCCGCCCACGACGCACTCCCGCTCGCACTCGCCACGTTAAGCCCGCAACAGACCTGCACGGTCACCCCGCCCAGGTCGCCAACAGCATGGCCTACACACACACACGTATGGTGTCCACCCACACGGGCACCCCGGGCACCACACGCACACACACACACACGCAGACCTACACCGCGGACCCGACAGCCCAGCGCGCACCCACACATGCGCCCGACGCGTCCGACCCATGGCCGCGGCTTATTTGGCCAACAGTCCCTCTACCGAGGATGGAACTCGGCAAACGCATGGCTGAGTTTATTTGGCTTTACTGAGTTCCCAAGAAACTCTACTCGGCAATTCCAATAGTGAAAACTATCACATGATCCGCCCTAATTGTACGGGCAAATAATATGTATGCATGGTCTATAATAAAATTTACAACAGAGATTCACTCGCTCATGATTCTACCTAACACGGTCTACTATGTGAGGAGGCGTTTTGGCTCAAAAACAGTAGAATTTTAAAAAAAACTGAAATGTTTCATAGATGTTTGTGTTAGTGTCGCAAGCATGCTTGACAATTTTCATGCAAAACGGAGCAGCAGCGTTTCGTCTGTGAAAAGAACAAATTTGGGTGTGGCATTGTGGGGTAACAATTGATGATTTTGGATGATGTATTATGATGCTGATAATGAGGTTACTGGAGCTCATTAAAATAGCAGTATGAAATAAGCCTGCATATATTTGTTGGTTTTGAATTTAAGCCTTTCAACTCAACTAAAATTATTATTTGTACATTATTTACTGACATTTACCCCCTGTTTTCGCAGGCTATATAGAATGATTGCATGTTTTAATCAAGAAGTCCTCAATAGGTGGACTGACTCAAAATGGAGAAGCATGCCGGTAGCTTTTCTGTTGATTGTATTAAGCATTTAAGTTCGTAGAAATTCATAACGTCAATATCTTTGGGATGCTTTGTAATATTTTATAAAACTATGTTTTTTTGGCCTGATCTGGCGTGCTGTCCATAGACGTCCTTACCCATTTCCTTCTCACATATGGTATGGTTTTTCGGATAGCCTAGACATATGGAGACAATTTGGGGGTGTCGATTCTCTCTCTCTCTCTCTAATAGAATAATGAACAACCGATAAGACTAATATTATAGACCTTCTCCTCAGTCCTACCGTGCATTATTTGACTTTTGTGCTAATACAAGGAAAAATATGTTGTGAACTTGTGAGTTGTGACCTACTCCATCCGTTCCTAAATATAAGTCTTTTTGGAGATTTCAATGTGGACTACATACGAAGCAAAATGAGTGAATCTATATTCTTAAATATGTATATATATATACATCCATATGTAGTTCGTATTGAAATCTCTAAAAATACTTAAATTTAGGAATGGAGGGAGTATATTTTCTGGGCAAGTTTTAGCCTTTTTATTTGCAATTGATGCTGCATGCCATTCACCCTTTCACCCTTATATTTGATGTTAATGTCTGAGTGTATGTCTAATTAGGGTTTCTCTTCAGTTGGTTGGTGTTTGAATATGAGTTGCTCGCTTCCCTTTTAGGCATATCTCCTATTACAACACACCCATTTCCTTTTGAGTTTTATGTGAAAATCCTTTTGAGCCGATACACCAAATATGAACTTACATAACTCAAATAAAATTCATTTTTTTCTTTCGGAAATACAAATAAATGCCAACGGATTTTTAAACAATAAATGTTATCAAAGATTGATATGTCTACCTGTCACAAGAGAGGTAGGAGTAGCATGTTCTAGAAGATGTGTTTTTCTGTAGTACTTTTTAAATGGTAAATTGTATGGTTTCAAGCGCCCAAATCCATATTATGTAATAGTTTGCCAGCCAATTGCATATTGCAATGAAGTTTCTGGTTGGAACATCTTGAAACATTTGTTTAAAGGAAAAAATCCTTCATGTGTTGATTTTAATTAATGGATAATAACAATGCACATGCTTTCATGATGCAATCGATTTTAAGAACTAAAAAAAGTCATTCAAGTGTTATTATCATTTGTAATGCATTGCAGAATAAAGAGTTTATTGTTTGTGTACCACCTTCTTTATTTTGTGCATCAGGTGTATAGGGTCGAATTATAAAAAAAAAATCGAAGTACATTGCAAGCGAATTAGATTCCAATTACTTTTTTATTTGTTATTGCCTATCTTTCTATGTGTGTAAAATTTTACATGCAACAAATACAAATTTTCAAATGCCCGTGGCAACACACGGACAGTCTACTAGTAAATATGTAAGTTATAAATTACATACTTCCTTCATTGCAAAGCTATTCATTTTTGAATTAGCTGAGATGACCATTCACATTAGTTAACTCCCAATAGAGGGAGTATATATATATCAGAAAAAGGTAAAAAAAAATAAAGTCTGCACCTTCAAAATATTTTTTCCACACGAAACAGTTGCAAGAAAAGGCGGTAAATAAATAAAGCGGGAATGAAAAAAAGACAAAAAAAACAACGGAGGGGTTTTTGGATGTGGAGTTTCTGCTCCCAAGCTCATCTGCACTCTCGTTGACGAAAAAAATCAAAACAAATATTAGAAAAATTCATAAAAACTATTTTTTATGGTAGATAATTTGATGCATGAGGTCCGCTTCAAATTTTAACTTATTTGGACATCTGAGGAGTTCTCGGCAAAAAAGACAAAATTAGGGTTTGTAAAAAAAAATATTGTTCACGCACTGTTCTGACCTGATTTATCTTTTTTGCTGAGAGCTGCTCAAATGTCTAAATGAATTGAAATTGAAGCGGACCTCACACGTCAAATTATCTAAAAAATGGATTTGTTTAAATTGTTTTAGTATTTATTTTGATTTTTTTTCGTATCTGGAATAGATGAGCCTGGGCACCGAGTTGGATTTCTGGGTTTTTTTTCTTAGCGGAATGCTAGTAGTCCGTACTCCTCGCCGCTACGACCCTGACCGCGCCGCCGCCGCCGCCGCCGCCTCAACTGTGACGGCGAGCAGCCGCGTCGCAGCGGTCTGAGCAAGGGTACCACCACCCGGATCGAGCTCCGGACATGGCGGCGGGGGCGTGGGCCGCGCTCAGGTCGGTCGTGAAGCCCTGCATCGCCGGCTCCCTCATCGGCCTCACCGTCTCCGACCGCTACTTCACGGTCGCCGCCGTCCGAGGCGCCTCCATGCACCCTACCTTCGAGGGCAGGACAGGTAAGCCCCACGTCTCCCCTCTCCGCCTACGGGCCACGGACACAACCAGCCGGATTCTTCTTCGATTTCTTACCGTCGCTGGCATCTCCGCCAGGTGAATACGCGTTGGTGGAGCGGCTCTGCCTCGAGCGCTATGACTTCTCCCGCGGCGACGTCGTCACCTTCGTGTAAGCTCGCTCGCCGCCTCCGCCGCCGACGCCCCGGCCGGGCTGCTTCCAGGGCGTTCAATGATGCTTCCAGTGGGTCATGGGTGTGGTGGTGCAGATATATACCGGATCTTGATTCTTGGTGCTGGTGTGCATGCAGGACGCCGGTAGACCACCAGAGGAAGGCGATCAAGAGGGTGATTGGGCTGCCCGGCGACTGGATCAGCGTCCCGGAGACGGAGGAGATCCGGAAGATACCGGAGGGCCACTGCTGGCTCGAAGGGGACAATGGCAGCGTCAGCCAGGACTCGAGAGCCTATGGCCCAGTAAGACATTCTACTGCTCCCTTGAATTTACCCATATTTTGCGTCTTGCTAGAAAGATCTGTTTTGCAAAGATTTTAATCCTGGAATTTCCCTGGAACGTCACCCACCCACTCGTCGCCTTCAACGATTTAGTCACCCCTGCAGACTTTTCTGTATTGCGAAGAGTCTCTCGAAAACTTGTGTGGCATAGGCCACTGAATTTGTACTGAGAGACTTGTTTCAAATAGGGTTACCATCAGGCCAAGCCTGAACTATGAAGAATGCATTGGATTAGGAAGAACTAACCAAAGGAGCAAATGTACAAACAGACTGGTTACATGTCCTCTGGAAAATTACTAGTACTAAAGTATTGACTTGCATATCAAAGTGAATATCAAGAGGATTTAAGTATGGAGTTGTAATTCTCATCATCACTGGCCAAGAAAGAGCCCATTGCCAATGAGCTGCTCTCCTGCTTTCTCCACCGAGGTTCATCTGGAAAACCCCAAACAATTTTCACGGTCAAACTTTGCTAGAACAGAGCACACATATGTAACGTGTAGAAAGAGTCCAAGGAAGGACACGTGCAAAGATAATTGACGACAGTTAATTTTTATTACCATGACTATAAAATACTGGGATATCATCCAGTCATGTGTAAAGTGAGAAAAGAGTCCAACGGCAGATACATACAAAGATAACTAGCAACAATTAATTACCGTTAACATCAAATATTGCTGCATTTTTGCATGCTGCTTGGACAGTTGGCTTGTCCATGTCACATGTTTTTATGTTTAGACAAGTGTCCGTGAGTCTGCCGCCCACTCGTCAGTCGCAGAGTCAAAGTCATCTCTGGAGACTTCTCTATTTTTCCAAGAGTCTGCGCGAGACTTGGCAGATGCCAGCCTAGTTAAATTTGTCCAGAGGCCGACCAGCAGCTTACCTCATCAATCCCAGCCATGGAGGTTTCTCATTTTGTTACAAGTCGTGCTCTGGGTAGACATCAAGTTAGTGCCATGACAGGGAGGAAGCGGTGAGGAGTGCCAATCTAATTTTGTTTGAGAACTCATGTAATGTAAGTCCTTGTATTTTCTGATACATGAGAAACAGATGTGTTTGCATGGACATAAATCATTTTATGGAGTGATTATACACCATTCAGCTAAACGTATTACGGTATTAGAGATCCCAGTTAAGATATAATTGGATGTTCTATCAGATCCAGCAACCCCCCTGCACTTCTTATTCCAATGAAACCCAAATATCACCCATTACGGTTCGGGCTTATGCATAGAATCGAGCCAACATGAAGACGCTCCTCTGCTCTGAGTGTTGCTATCTTGTATTCCTCTGTTTATATTCGCTGCTTTGTTCTAGTTCCAGCTTGTATTGTAGTAAATCAAACACGTATTGCATTACCTCAATGGAATAACTGTCTAATCCAGCTTAGCAGAGCTGGGCTTGCACTTGTCTCGGTGCTATTTCTGATACTGCCATGGTGCCGCGTCCAATTTGGTTACTGTCACCATTGAAATTGAAGCACAGTCCATCTGCAGTTTAAAATTAGCCTGAATCCAGAATACTGGTTTGTCTTATAGTACTTTTGGTTTAAAACGCAGCAACACACATGCTAGGGCAAGTTACATTTGTGGCTGATGTTAAGTCAGGAGAGTTTTTTATGTCTTAGGTTGCACAATTTTTGGTGGGAAAATAGAGCACACCTGTGTACTTGATATCGGCTGTAGTCCTGGCAATGATGAACGTCTTTATTATCCTTTTGTTGTCTGCTGCATGCAGGTGCCGATTGGTCTGGTGCAGGGGAGGGTGACACACGTGGTGTGGCCGCCCCGCAAGATAGGCCGCGTCGACAAAAGGGTACCGGAAGGAAGGGTCATGCCGCATCGGAATCTCTAGCCTCCCCATCTTCCTTCCCCGGTTGCTTTGTCCTGCAGTTTTGTTTGTTCTCACAGGAGATTCATCATGTAACAATGTAACATCAGCGGCAGGAGGAGGGCATTTGCTGCTCCGCCTTCGCCCGAGTGTAGGCACAGCAATAGAGAGTTTATTCTTCTGTAACCTTTACCGGCTGTAGGAACTGGGCTTATGGTAGGAGCCTGCTAGGCTAGGTAGCTGTTGCCACTGAATTCCTCTGTGGATCCGGTGTGTTTTCGGTGGTTAAGTTCCGCTTCTGATGAATCACCGTTGCTGTGATGATGTATCATGCGTGGAATGAGCATTTTGAATCTACAAGCCGATTGATTATCTATTATAATCGTGCTATTATTTCGTTGTTTGCAAAGACAACAAAGTTTGATATATTCTAACATGTCGCAGATAACAAGATAAATGATCTCAAAGTACTTGCTGAAGGCAGCACGAAAAGAAATCCTGATCAGCTGAATCTTATGAACTCTCGCACCAGCTGCTACCCCAATGAAAGACCACAGAGAAACCAAGATGTAGAAGCAAATAGAAGCCCTCTGATGAAACAAACACCAGGAACAAATGGAAGCCGCATGATCACCCATACACCAGTAGGAAATGGAAGACCCCAGATAAATCAAACACCAGTAACAGATGGAAGGCCACCGTTGGACCAAACACCAGGGATAAATAGAAGACCTCAGATGGAACAAATGCCAGCAACAAAATCGTAATATTCTAACATTAGTTTCTTACAGAGTTCAGTTCTTAGCTAAGCACACAGAGATGTTATACAGTATTTATATACTTTACCAGAATCTCATGGTGCCAGATTTATCAACTTAACCTGAATCTCGCGATGTCAGACTGGATCTAGGTGCTGTTGAACATAGAAGGGGCATTACATCACAAAATATATACCTGTAATCTGGAGCATTGAAGTGATAATTTTCACCATGGATGTGTCAAAAAAGGTTTCTGTTAGTATGCTTACTGAGACTCCAAGCTCTGAAAACCTCCAATGAAAGCGCTAAACATTGGTAAACTTCTCAAAAGATGAGTAAATTGACATTCTTATCTGCATGATCTTGTGGAATGTGCTTATTTTCATGGCAGAACTAGTTAACACTGGCAATTCAAATCTTGAAATGGAACAAATTGTATTGCTCCACGAGTAGAAACACAATTTCTCTATCTTCAGGAAGATTATATTCCTGACTTTCGGTTGTATTACAATTATGACTCTGCTCTGCATATACATGCTTTTACTGCTTTGCTCTTTATGTCCTTGTTAGGTTTTGGATTGTGATAATGCTTGCTTGTTAATGCCAGCCTCGCCACACCTTACATTTATCTTACTAGAGAGGCAGATCTGAATCTAAATGTAGAACATGGAAAGGTAAAATCAGCTCGATTGGTTGGTTCAAGATACAGGCTGGCACCTACACAGAAAGAGGTGGACGGATCGAAAGGTCAATCCACAAGAGCAAACTAAGAAGGTAATCAGTGATACCTTGCCCCTTTGTGTCAATGAAATTGTCAAATTGGTATATGACACCTCGAGCAAACTAAAGGTGTTGGCTAGCCTGAGTATGAATGCTTTCAGAGATTCCTATTAACGCGCACCTGTTGCAATACTGCTCACAATTCATGGCGAACATCCACCGAGTTCTGGTTCTGAGAAAAGCATACAACTGAATTTACTGAAAAGTTGCGCTTGCGTTATGTTTGTTGAGTGTGTGATCGTGGCTTTGTACTTCTGTTTGAAAGTGCAGGAACCACTCAGAAGAATCATCGATACGGACAATGATGGTGAAGGCCGTTCTCAACGTAGAACCAAGTATGCATTGTTGTTATCAAAGAAGCACGAAATCATCATTTGCAGCAGAAAGAAGTTGTAAATGAGACGAAGAAAACACATGTACATCATAGATCTCCAGAGAGATAATTCCTTTTTTCAACCATTTCAACCATTGTTTACAGAGGTACACATGATGAACAAACTGAAGAATCGCAATGAGGTATGACTAGCACTTGCAACATGGTTGCAGTGAATTTATTCTACATGCGCTGTATAGCTCCAAGTTAGTCCACTGGCACTGGCTGCATTGCCTCAGCCTCCTTCCTCAGACCCTCGAATAGCGCCGACGATAAGTATCGCTCTCCTGCGCTCGGATGAACAGTCTGGAACAACAGACAGGTGCATTGGTCAGTCAGTCTTCTGAAACTTCTCCATCTTAACATATTTTTGTATAAAATTCATAGATATGGGTATGTATGTCGTACCACGATGAGCTTCCCCTTGTTTTCTGGCCTCTTTGCGAGTTCGATCGCTGCCACTGTGTTGGCTCCTGATGATATCCCCACCTGAGAAAATGTAGCAATTTCAGCACAATTTTGATGTAACCAGTCCAGTTTCACATGAGTCAATATAACCATTCCTTTTCTTTTTCTTAGGGAGCAGTTAATTTTTTTACTTACCAGCAGGCCCTCCTGCAGTGCCAACTGCTTCGCCATCTTAACGGCGTCCTCGCCTTTCACCTGTCAATTACATGCATGAAATCAGTAAGAATTACAGAATCTATTCTACCAAAAGAAGAAGCCCAGTTTGATTCCTTACCTCCAGAACCTTCTCCATGATATCCATGTCCAAAATATCTGGCTTAAATCCAACTCCATTTCCAGTGATGAGGTGAGGCCCTGCAGTTAGGTTCAGTTAGCAACATGATTAGGAGCTAGCTAAAAAAGATATCTACTAGCATGAAACAAAGAAGAAGGTTTGATCATTTTCAGAAACCAATAGCCTACCTGGCTTGCCACCATTCAGTACATTTGCCTCGGCAGGTTCAACCCCATAGATCTTTGCGTTGGGGTTCTTCTCCTTGAGGTACTTGCCGACGCCGGTGACGGTGCCGCCGCTGCCGATTCCCATGACGAAGATGTCGACCTGCCCGAGCGTGTCCTCCCATATCTCCGGACCGGTGGTCTCGTAGTGCACCTGGACGTTGGCGGGATTCTCGAACTGCTGGAGCATGAAGGCGCTGGGATGGTTCTCATAGAGCTGGGTTGCCTTCCTGACGGTGCCTCCCATCCCCTTCGCCGGGTCAGTGAGTACGAGCTGCGCACCGAAGGCCTTCATGACCACCCTCCTCTCGAGGCTGGTGTATGATGGCATCGTCAGCACGAGCTCGTACCCTTTGAGTGCAGCCATGAACGCCAGGCCGATGCCCATGTTCCCGGATGTAGGCTCGATCAGCGTCGTCTGTTTCAGAAGCGACTTGCGGTTAGTTTTAGATCCATATGCAGGTGTGACAGTATATGCTTCCTTCCCGCAAAAAAAAGACAGTATATGCTTCCTATTGTCTCAGCATGTTTGCGATCTCAGTGCTATTTCCAAGTGAAATAACAGTTAATGCTTATTTATTTACCAAATTTACAACTCCCTCCGTAAACTAATATAAGAGCGTTTAGATCACTAAAATAGTGATGTAAACACTCTTATATTAGTTTACAGAGGGAGTACTTCCCTTTTTTTTGACAGCAAGTTGTTGCTACTTCCTCATGGTTGTTGAATGGACCTGAGCTGAGTTCAAGAGGTACTTTTTGCGGAATACAGTTGTCGATTTATCTGAAAGCATGAGTGATGACTGACCTTGCCTGGGGTTATCAGCCCCTTCTTCTCCGCATCTTCGATCATGGAGATTGCTGGCCTGGATCATACATAAGACGTATTAATCACTTATTCACACAGGAAGCGGAGGTGGAATTCTTGTTTCCTTCAGATATACTGACGGATAAGAAATATGTTGGTAATGTTCCTATTTCATTTTGCATGCTTGTTTTGGCTGTATATGCTATATTCTTGCGAATAAAATAAGCAGAGTAAATCGTAAGCATTCAGGTTTGTTAACAGTTAAGGATCATATAATTCAGACAAAACAAATTGTCCCAACGGGATCGAGCGAGCCAGGTTGCCAGCTTCACACTAGCTTGTAGATCTGGATGGAGAATGCATTGTTCTAGACTGCAAAGTACTCCAGTACAAGACTTAAAGGACCAAAATTAAGGTGGGCTAGTCACTCATCCTGACTTGTATAACAGAAAAGACTAACTGCATCTGTCTCTAATTCTTTCCTTGGATCCCAGTGCATATCACTGTCGATGTATCACAATGAGGCAGACAAGAAGATATGGATCTGGAGTCTGACTTGTCCCTTCATTATTTTCCCCACGAAAGCGACCGGATCGATGGGGAGGGTATTTTAGTCGATTCCGGTCGCTATCTAGATCAGAACAATAACAATACTTTGCTCGAGATGTCCTCCAACCAGTGTGTGTCTGTTAGCATGATAATACTAGATTAACCAGTCGCCGTCTGTGAGTATGACATGGATCGTATATATGCCGCTTGTGGGCGGTATTAGTTCAGGTAGGGATGGATGATCATAAATAGTTTGATGATCTTCTGGTTTCATATAGATGGTGACTTGTTGGAGCCTGCCTACGCACAGGTCAAAGATCTGGTGTTTTGATTATGACCATCAATATTATTGTTATGAGACCGGATATTCGATTGGCTCCACTTGGCTGTCTACTGTCTAGTCTAGAGCAGAAGTGGATAAGCTGCTATAGTTCTTGTCCACCAACCGACGCATCAAGCAGGATATTATCACATCAGAATTCAGAAGCGAAGTGTCAACATGCAGGAATTGATCTGCAGCCACTGGAATATGATCGACAACTGATTGATAACGGCCCACAGACACCACACTCGTATCTACTACGTACTCCCATAATAATATAAGATGTTATTACAATCGATATACACATATATTGATCGATTGTAATAAGATCTTATAATCAATAGAAGATCGGAGGGAGTACTACCTAATCTCGTACTACGCACTTGTAAATTAGGACGAATCGGACGTGCGTGACTGCCACGTGAAGAGGAGATTAATTAAGGTAATAATGAGCAATTAACCTGTCCT